TGTCGGCGTGCAGCACACCTCGTTCATGCAAGCAAGAGGTGTTCCCTTAAAAATACGCACTGGGGTCTGACCCGGCCCGGCTGTTAACGCTGTTATGGCTTTCTGGAAGGTTCACACAGGGTGGACGCAATCGTGTGTGCACATGGGGCGGGGGGGGGCCCCAGTGACTCCCAGTGCAGAGCCTTGCAGGCAGCCCCTGGCCGTCCCGTCCCAGCCGTGTGCACATCAGCACTGAACAACAAAACCTCCAGCCTCTTGCAGCGCCCCTCCCAGCACAGCGTGGGCACAGACCCTGGGGAGCCAAGCCCGCCCCATTCGCTCCTGGGCGCCCGTGGGTACCGACATCGCCCGTGAGGAGCACTGGCACTGCTGACGCGGCCCCTGGGTGGTGCCTCTGTGGGCAGCCACAGCGACTCAAGTCACACAACAGCAAACAGCTGCCAGGCCCCAGGGACTCCCCCTCCGGCAGTGGCAGTGGGGGGCTCTGGGGTGAGGACAGCCAGGGACACGCCCCACGTCCAGCCCTCAGCCCCCCTACTTCCCTGTCAGACGGGACCCGGGGAGCCTCCTAGGGAGCAGGTGTTTGGGGGCCTCGGCCCACGTGAGCCCCACTTGCGGTACAGTGGTCTCCGTCATGATCTCGATGCCTGTCTGCCCCTGCGGTGTCTCCGGGACACGCTTTGCACAGATCTGAACGCACAACTCTGAGAACAGAATACTATGCTTTTAGTGGGCAAGTCTTGGCTAAAGTGACATCGTGGCTCCGCGTGATGCAATATGATTCTTTCTCTTTTCAATCCCACTGTAGTGAGAAGGCCACCAAGGTGCAGGACATCAAGAACAACCTGAAGGAGGCCATAGAAGTACGTGCCCACCCCTCCCCCGCCCCATCCCGCCCCAGGCCGCCCCTCACCTCTGCCCCTGTCCTGTGCAGACCATCGTGGCCGCCATGAGCAACCTGGTGCCCCCGGTGGAGCTGGCCAACCCTGAGAACCAGTTCAGAGTGGACTACATCCTGAGCGTGATGAACGTCCCCGACTTTGACTTCCCTCCCGTAAGCCAACCCTGGGCAGGGCGGGTGGGCCCTGCCCGCGCCCCACGGCCTGGGGGCCATGACCGGGTTGCCCGCGCCTACCTGCGTGTCACACAGGAGCCGGAGGACTCCCCCACCCAGGCACACTTCTGGTGATGTCAATTCTTAGGACGACGCTCATTCTAGAAGGCGCCTTAGTACGTAAAGACACGGTCCCCGGGCTCGGCCCGCCCTCCGCCGCGCTCTGACCCTGTGGCTCTCCCTTGCCTAGACTGCGTGCTGATGAGGGAACCGCTCCTCGCTCCTCACTGACCGCTGAGGCGAACATTCCAAAGGCAGCAGGGGTCCCCAGAAGGGGGGGGGCCAGACTCCTGCCTAGCCCAAGTGCCCAGGGAACCCCTGGGCAGGCGCCCCAGCTGCAGGGTCATCGCTGAACCTGGAGGAAAGCTTTCTTGAAATCGGGCCTTGCCTTGGGTCCTCAAAATCTTTTCTCACTACAAAAGACCACAAACCACAGTTCGCCTAAGCTGTAACTTGGGGTGGCCTCCTGGGCCCCCGTTGGCGAGCCGAGGCTGCTTGCTGAGGTGGCCTATTCCATAAAGTCCTGCCAGCTCTGGAGCGGACACACGCGCTCGCCCGTCGTGGCGGGCAGTGAATCAGCAAGCTGGAAACCAGAGGGCAGGGGCCGGCAGTGAGCGGCCACACCTCCTGCCAGGCCTGTGTGGGAATGGCGCCTGTATTGCGAGCGGCCGTGGGCCGAGCTCCCGAAGCAGGACTTGCAGGGAACAGTGCGGCAGTGAGCAAAAGGCCCGCGGGCGGCACGCGCCCCTTTCGGGCTCAGGCGGGGCTTCCAAGAGGAAGAGAGGCGCCCTGCTGAAGGTGCCCGGGGCGGAACCTCGGGCCAGTGACGCCCGGAGTCGGGCTCCGCCTGCCTTCTGCTCTCCTGGCCTGGCGGCCACCTTGGGAACAGACCCCCGTTGCCTGGAAGGGGAAGGCGCCTGAAGACGGGCCTGCTTTACTCAGGCAGCCCCCGACTGCGATGCCAGACAGCCCGGGCCACTTTGCTCCTTCCTGTGTCCAGCCTGGGCACAGGACAGGTGCTGCCCCCGCCCACAGTGGCATCACAACACCTGCTACGCAGACGCCGCTGGGGGGCAGGGAAGGGAGTCCCCGTCGCTCACAAGCGGAATTGCGAGTCTTCACACCGACTCCCTCCGCGCAGTCGCACGCACTAGCTGTCTTCACACCTCGGCACTTGTGGGAAGAAACAGGATTCCCCACTCCCTCTGCCCAGCTCCCAGAAAAGAACGGGCGGGAGATGACCCGGAGCCCGTCATTCCGGAGGGCGGGTGGCGGCCCCAAGTGCCCGCGCCTCCGCGCGCCTGGCCGCCGGTGGGCACGGGCTGTGGGCTGGCGAGCGCTGTGAGCGGGGCGCGGGCAGCCGGCGCTGACGCTCTCCCCCGCTCCCTTTCAGGAATTCTACGAGCACGCCAAGGCCCTGTGGGAGGACGAGGGCGTGCGCGCCTGCTACGAGCGCTCCAACGAGTACCAGCTGATCGACTGCGCCCAGTAGTGAGTGCGCCTGTGCCCGGGCCCGCCCAGAGGCCAGCCCCGTCCCCCCGCACTTAGAAAGCCGGGGTCTGGTTCATTCGCTGGGCGAGCCCTGACCGCTTTTTAGCGCAGGGACATGATTCTGTGCAAGCAAGCAATGCCCGTGGGGCGGGGGCAGGCACCGCAGCCGGCGGGACGCCCCCTCAGTGCTCCCAGGGCATCGCCGAGGCGGCCCGAGCCCTGGGGAGACGGCGCGGGCGCCCGCATGCCAGGGGCACAGAAGTATTTTGCCTGTCGCGGCCCCCAGGCCAGAGGTGCCTCCGGGGCGGCGCGGTGCAGGCTGGCCAAGTCGCCGAGGCCGGGGCTTCCGCCGACGGCCAGAAGGGGTGCCCGAAGGGGTGCCGTCCTAGGGCGCAGCCAGATGGGGCTCCCGCCCGGGCGCCCTTGCGCCGCCTCCATGGGCAGTGCATCTGATTGCCTCTGGCCGCCCGGCGATGGCACGGCCTCGCAGACCAGCACATCTGTGTATTTTTTCAAGGAACAGAATCTTGGCCAGCCCCCCGGCCCCAGCCCCCACCCCGCGCAACAGCCCCTGATTTTCTCAAAAGTTTGAGCTAAAAGCTGGAAGTGCTAATTATAGTAACGCAAAACAAATGGAAATCCTGGAATTGTTCGCGTCTGTGTTTTGGACCCGAGTCAGAAGCGCAGGTACAGATGAGGGCCGGGCCGGCGGGCGCGGGGCTTGGGCTTGCGGGGCGCCCGGCTGTGCCCACCCTGCGCCCACGGCGCGGCCCCGAGCCTGGCGCCCCGCGGGGCCCATGGAAAGTTTTACAGAAACTTGCAGGGAGGGAACCAGCCCGCAGGCCCGGACCTTTCAAATGTCCGCCCGCCGGCCAGGCGGCCGCGGCCCGGACCCAAGGTGGAGGTGCCAGCTCCAGCCGCCACGAGCCGCCTGTTTTCCTGCCGGGCCGGGCCGGGCCGGGCCATGGCCGCGCTGGGCTGGGCCATGGCCGCGCTGGCCCCGCTCCAGAAGCGTCTCACAAGACGCTGGCTGCGGAGCTATTTATAGCACTGTGGTTCCGTCACCATGGCAACGCGCTGGCGGCCAGGCTGGCCGTAGCTATTTCTGGCAGTGCAGCAATGTGAGCCCGATGGGGCAGGCCCGGGAGCCTGGGCCCGGCCCGGCCGGCAGGGGTGGGGCCACCCGCAGCCCCTGCGCCTCACACATTCCAGACCCTCCCCCGCAGGGCCGGCTGTCCACCGTCCGGTCTTGTCCAGTGGGTTTTCCTGCCCGTGTCTGGTCTGCGGCACTAGCCCCGGCTTGGCCCGGGCAGGGGGAGGGCACGGGGCGCCGGCCCCCCACCCTCTGAAGTGTGCTGTGGCCGCGAAGGCAGCGGAAGGCAGCCTGTGTTTCCTGTAGGGCGGCGAGGCAGAAAGGCCCCTTTGTGCCAGCCTCTTTTGTTCTCCAACGGCAAGATCCTCACAAAGTAGAAGGAAGGGACAGCCGACCTGATAGCTCAGAGCCGCCTCGTCTCCGGGGCGGGCCTGGCGGTCAAGTCCACCATCTTAGGGGGCGTGGGGCTTTTTAATGGGGTGACACAAAGTATATAACGTTAAAGTCACTTCCCGTTTTAGTCAAAGCCAAACAATTCAAAATCTTCGAGCTTCTGGTTAAAACGAGGACAGGAACACAGCCCCCTGCCCGCTGCTGCACGGCGGACCAGGGCCCAGAGTGGCCGCTGCCATTCTCCTTCCAGCAGGCAGCGGCAGATTTCAGCCCTCTGGAGTCGCTGGCTGGGAGAAGCCCCAGTGGGCCTGAGCTCTCTGACCACCCCCATGTGTCTCTTTGCTCCCAGCTTCCTGGACAAGATTGATGTCATCAAGCAGGCGGACTACGTGCCCAGCGACCAGGTGAGCCCCTCCGTCCCACAGCCGGCCTCACGGGCAGCTGACTGGTAACTTGGCTGGTGCCGTGGGGCCCGCTGACCGGTGTCCTTGCAGGATCTGCTCCGCTGCCGCGTCCTGACTTCTGGAATCTTTGAGACCAAGTTCCAGGTGGACAAAGTCAACTTCCAGTGAGTAGATGGCTTCCGTTTGCTTAAGACGGTCAAACTGCTTTTTCCGGAGGGGTGCCAGAGTCAGGTCTTGGGGGTGACCAGTGTCCTCCTCTCCCGCAGCATGTTCGATGTGGGCGGCCAGCGCGATGAGCGCCGCAAGTGGATCCAGTGCTTCAACGGTGAGGCGGCCAGGGCTCCCGCAGGGCGTCCGCGGCGTCATCGCCCAGGGCCACTGCTTCCTAACATGCATTGCTTTTGCTTTGTCCTGCTGAAGATGTGACTGCCATCATCTTCGTGGTGGCCAGCAGCAGCTACAACATGGTCATCCGGGAGGACAACCAGACCAACCGCCTGCAGGAGGCGCTGAACCTCTTCAAGAGCATCTGGAACAACAGGTGTGTGGAGAGACCCCGACCTCCTCCCATGCCTGAGCTCAGCCCGGCACTGGCGGCTGGAGAAGGGAGTCCCGGGCAGGTGCCTCCGGCCTGCAGAAAAACTGGGGTCTTCTTCCCCACGCTAACCCCACCCCCACCCCTGCAGATGGCTGCGCACCATCTCTGTGATTCTCTTCCTCAACAAGCAAGACCTGCTTGCTGAGAAAGTCCTCGCTGGGAAATCAAAAATTGAGGACTACTTTCCAGAATTTGCTCGCTACACTACCCCTGAGGATGGTGAGTATGGCCTCCTGAGCTTACGCCTGTGCGGCCAGGCTCAGGGGCCCCCACCAGCATGCCTGTTCAAAATTCCCATGCCCCCTCCCCCCACTGCCAAGCCCTAAAAGACCTGTTGGGAAAGAAATGCAAATTTGTTTCCCTCCTATACTTATGGAGAAACCCCAAAAGTTAAGGGGTACTAGGATGCCGGCATCCTGGCTGTGCTGGGATCTGTCGACTACCTTAATTAACAAAATAAAATACTCCCATTCTTCCCAGCCACTCCAGAGCCCGGAGAGGACCCACGTGTGACCCGGGCCAAATACTTCATCCGCGACGAGTTTCTGGTGAGGACCCACTGCCTTTGAGTCTCTTTCTCACTGGGGAGCCCCAGATTTTCGATTTGGGGATTAAACTATCCAGTGCTGCCCTGTGCTCTCACCCTCAGTCCGCGTGAAAGTCAGTTTTATGCCCGGCACTGGGCTTCGTTTTAGTGGAGCGCTGAGAGCTGGCCAGCAGCCGGGGGGGGGGGCGGCGGTTGCCGGAGTAGGGTGCCCGTTCGCACTGCCCGAGGCGGCTGACCGCCCATGTCTGTGCCACAGAGAATCAGCACTGCGAGTGGGGACGGACGCCACTACTGCTACCCTCACTTCACCTGCGCCGTGGACACCGAGAACATCCGCCGCGTGTTCAACGACTGCCGTGACATCATCCAGCGCATGCACCTCCGCCAGTACGAGCTGCTCTAAGAAGGGAACCCCAAATGTAATGAAAGCCTTAAGCACAATTAATTAAGAGTGAAACGTAATTGTACACGCGGTTAATCACCCACCATATAGGGCATGATTAACAAAGCAACCTTCCCTTTCCCCCGAGTGATCTTGCAAAACCCCCTTTTCCCTTCTGCTTGCTTAAATATTCCAAATTTAGAATGCTTAAGGCGGCCTACAGACACAGAAAAAGGAAAAGGAAAAGGCCACAAAAGTTCCCTCTCTCTTTCAGTAAAAAAAACAAAAGCAGCAAACAGAACTAAAGAAATAAAGGAAATAAAAGAAATAAATGAAATAAAAGAAATAAATGAAATAAATATTGTCTTGTGCAGCATTAAAAAAATCACAATAAAAATTAAATGTGAGCAAAAGATTGAGTCCAGCGAGCTCTCTGTGCCGCCCCGCAGACCCCCACAGCTCTCGTCGGGAGGCGACGCGGCCCTCTGTTGTCAGTGGGTGTGCAGTCTTGCCACAGCTTTGCTGACCTAATCTTTGGAGTGCTGAGAAAGCACTCAGATGAGGCAGGAAGTCTCCTCTGTCCTCCCAAGCCAGAGCCCCACAGTGAGCCAGTCGGCCCCCTCGAAGACCCCCCTTCGGTCACTCGCGCCCGCCGGCAGTCTGCCTGCGGCACCTTCCTGTGCCACGGTGTGCCCCCCCCCCCAGCAGATGCTGGGGTCCTGGCTCCCTGTCCAGCTGTAAGCTGTGGAGTCGATTATGAACGGAGGCAAGTTTGGTGTTTCAGATGGTCGGGGAAAGGGACTCACCCAAGAAAGGGGCCCACTGTTTACGCGCGTCAGATCCACACACACTCTTCACATCATGGTCTTGTCTCCGTCATATGCAGTGGGTGGGGGGTGGAGATGGGTGGGAATGCGGCAGCTATCAAAGACAAACAAGGCGGTGTTGAAACAGCCGTGTGGGGATGATTTTAAGCCGTTATCCCTACCTCATGCCATATAACGAAATGAACACAGACTTTGAGTCATGTTTAAATAAAAAGAATCTATACAAAGCTCCTCTAAGCAGGATTTAAGACTCAAAAGCCACAAAAGGGGGCTGGGGCAGGAGGGTGCGACAGTGGAGAGACACAACTGTTGGGGTTCCTGTGAGCAGAGAGCTGCTACGAAGCAGCAAATCCATTACAAAAATTGGCCAAGCACATGAGCATGAAATTAATTTTGACCCAAAAAAAAAGATAAATAGTGGAAGATAAGTCAAACCTCACTCATAATGAAATAAAATACAGATAAACTGCCATGCTGGGGGAGGGGTGAGTATCAACACTTGGGCCCACCAGACCAACCCCAGATGGGCCACTCCGGCGCCCTAGCCCATCACCCCACGTGCATCCCTTAAACTGTGGTCACCCAATGTGCGACTGACTGGATGGTGGGAGAAGAGTTGGCCACCTCCATCAATCATTACAGCCTCTAAAACAGGCCAGAGGGGCTATTAGGTTGAGTCTGCAATTCTGCCCTCCACGCCATCCACTTCCTCTTCTATTTTCAAAATTTAACTCCCACCAAATTAATCTTTTAGCACACAAAGCCCACTCGCATGCAGCAAAATGAGCCTCCAGAGAGGGCAGAGCAAGTAGAAAAGGCCCCACTCTATAACCTTCCACAAAGCCTCCTTGCCAGTAAATGCAGTTCACATAAAAATTTGGAACATCCAACTTAACATAAAATGCCCCAAATTGCCATCATCTATATAAGGCCCTACATAATTTCCTACAGTCCTCCCAAGTATCCCAAACAAACACACCTAAAACCTGGGTACCGCTTATCTTGTTAAACTTAAGACCAACCCACCAGAAACACACCCACCATCAATTAAAAGGCTGTACAAATGGAAAATAAAGGCTCAACATCAGCCCCACTCCTTTTCCAAGATGGCCAACCGTGTGCCCCCGACACTGAAATTCCAGAACCTCCTGTAAATAATTTCTTCCAAGATGGTCACCTGTAAATATGTACCCCCTACAGGAACAGCCCCTTCTCTGAATAACTTTTCCTAGATGGTGAACTATGTGCCCCTCCTACACGGAAATCCTGGAGCCTCCTCTAAATAAACTCTTCCAAGATGGCTGCCTG